TGTGTGTGTGTGTGTGTGTGTGTGTGTGTGTGTGTGTGTGTGTGTGTTGGTGAATATTGAACCCAGGGTTCCACATATGCTAGGCAAGGGCTCTTGGCTCTATCTTCAGTCCTTGGTTAACATTTTAAACAAGGGAAAATAAAGGTTTTACGCTCCTAAGCAGTTTTATTTGGTCACAGTAGCATTTAGTTTTTCCTGGCATGTGGACATTGCTTTGACTGGCCCTCCGTTTGGGGAGAAAAAGCTAATGGCGATCCGAGGATAGTCAGGTTAGCATGTTACCTACCGAAAGTTAGTGGTTTGGTTCTAGGGCGTTTGTCCACTTAAGTGGCAGGCCTTGTGATGTGCCCGTCTCTTGAATCATTAAGAGAAAGGAGTGAAGGCCAGAAGGACTTCTGATGTCCCAGAGAGAGGAGATTCCTGAAGTCTGCTCAAGGTCACATGTAACACTTGCTCTTTGGGTCTCTGGCAGGGCGTGCCCCAGCTGTCAATCTGCCTGTCAGAAGAACCAGAAGATCACATTAAGGCTGCTGCCGCCTGGGCCTTAGGGCAGCTGGGAAGACACACTCCAGAGCACGCCAGGGCTGTCGCCGTCACAAACACCCTGCCAGTTCTGCTTTCTTTGTACATGTCACCGGAGAGCTCTGAGGACCTGCAGGTGAAAGTGAGTACTTGCTCTTCGTTTGGGGAAGATTTGGTACATATGACTAGCTTTCATTTTTAATATCTGATTTGAAGTCTTTTAATTTTCCAATGGACAATATTTTTTTTTATGACTTGTTTTTCTAAGTCAAGAAATATATAAATCTAATTTAAATATAAATTACATTTAAATATAAACTTAGGACACCAGAGGCAGAGGAAGAAGGGTAAAAAGTTTAGTCATCTTTGGCTACATAGTTACTTCGCGGTCAGCCTGAGCTACACGAGACCCTATCTTGAAAATAAAATGGAAAATTATCAGAAAAATTAAGATTACTTTCAAAAAATTGGTCAGCTATGAGTTTTAAAAAACATTCTCTGCAGATGTAAAATTGTTTATAAAATCAATGTTTTAAATTCTATACTTCTGTTTATATTTTCTGAAGAATTATTTTCATGATATTTTTATTAAATTTTTATTATGTTTCTCTGATTGTGTGTGTGCATGTGCGTGTGTGTGTGTGTGTGTGTGCATATGCGTGCACACACCATGGTGTATATATGGAGGCCAGAGGACAGCATGTGGGGGCTCTCTCTTCCACTATGTGGGTCCCTGCAAGACTGAACCCAGGTTTTCAGACTTAGTACCCTGACTCACTGAGTCATCCCATGAGCCCAGCTCTCCTTTCTAACGTGCTTTAGTTTATCAAATGTGGCTTATTTAATACAAAGTAAGTATTTGCTTCCCCCTGCTTCTCTAGATACTAAACTGAGAAATGAACTGTTGCCGGTCCCTGATCTTAACAATGAAAAATCTTCCTCATCTGAACATCCTCTTATTATTGTAGGAGCTCCATCATTCTGTTTTTCCTTTTCTAAGTCTCTTGAACCATACTAACTGTTGTTTTACAGATTTAGAATGGAGTTAGGTCAACTCTGCTTGATTTGGCACTACATCGCTGGGGAAAACTGCACCTGAAATCCTCAAGTATTGCCTTGTAGTATTTTCACTTGCTGTTCTGTGGCAGCTTCCAAATTATAAGGCCATGCTGGAGTTCATTTTGTCCCAAAGGCATGACACTGTTTTAGTTACAGTTTCTATTGATTCGATAAAACAATTGGTGACCAAGACCAGTTCAGGGTGGAAAGGATATATTTGGCTAATGTATTCGGGATTTCAGCCCATTGAGGGAAAGAGTTCAAGGCATAGCTTAGAGGCAGGAACTGAAGTAGAAGCCACGATAGAAAGAACCCTGATTGCTGGCCTGCTTCTCATGGCTTTCTCAGTCTGCTCTCTTATACAATTTTGGTCCACCTGCCTAGGTGGACCATCACTCACTCACAATGGGCTGGGCTCTCTAACATCAATCATTAATCAAGAAAATGCCTGATGGACTTGCCAGTCCTATGGAGCCATTTTCCTCAATCAAGATTCCTTCTTCCCAGATGACTTTAGCTTGTGTCAAGTTGACATAAAACTAACCAACACAGTAACCTTCTATAAACACTCCCTAAGCCCCAGTCAGTTCCAGTCTGGGAGAACCAGAGAGCAGCTTGGTAGCATTTTTCCATGTTGTCACTGTCTGTCTGCTCCTGTCTTATTCTAAACACTTCAATAAAAACTAAAGTTTTTTTTTTTATCTGATAAGTTTGACTAAATTTGTTAAGAAAATATTGTTTGTTTTTTATTTGTTTTGATTTAGAGGTACCTATATTAATTGTGTTATCTTAGGTTGACATTTGGATTAGTTAGTTTCAAAACTTTTTATAGAATATTATGTAGTACCTATTGTGTACTATTTCTAGACTATTTAATATTAATTAGTACCTATTGTGTTCATGGTTATTTAATTTTTAGAAGTTTTCTTGAGATACAATTTCTATACTATCCATTTTAGTCATTTAAAGCATGTAATTAAAATAGTGTTCAATATTCTTACAGAATGTGAAAGTGTCACCAGAGATTAGTTTTAAACTTCCGTATTTCCATCCTTAGACACAGAGTGCTTAGGTAAGGAGGAAGGGTCCAGGGCACACAGGGATGGGAAAATAGATTTTCTGACTGGACTGGGGGTGGAAATAGGAGCAGTATTAATCAAGTTGGTGGAGAGAGAGTACAGAGAAAGAGAGCTAGAACTGGAGGTTACTTGGGAGGTGGTTTGGAAACCTAATACAGTGGAAACTTCCTGGCATCTGTGAAGGTGATGAGGACTCCTAGCGATGGGGGACATGGAGCCACAAGCAGCTGTCTCTTACAGCCAGCTGAGGCCTCCGGGCTTTCAGTGGTAGTTACATTCAATTGGCTTGATGGCTAATGGGTCCCATAGAAATCCCCAAACAACATAGGTTGCTGCTAAGACAACAGATTGCTCTCCACAAACTGACAGCAAGGCCCTGTTGCCGAAGACAGCACCCGCACAACTCTTTGAAGTTGGAGCAGCTGAGCTGGTGCCTCCACAGAGCCCTTGCCACTAACTCTTTGGTGTGGTACTTTGTAGGGTACTGAAAGAGAAATGTGAATCTCAGCCCAGCCACAAAACCGTTTACCTACAAAGTTTGCTAGGGCAACGGTGGTGCAGAACTTGTGTGAGTAATCAACCAATGTATGGTTTGACCTGAGGCCCACACCATGAGAAGGAACTCATACCCGACCCTACTTGGGTAACCAAGAACCAGAGACTAGATAGATCATAGAGCTAGGGTAAAACCAAAATCTACCAGTCTAAATAAAATCAGTAAGATGATTTCTAATGATACTCTGCTATACTCAGATGAGGGCCTTACAGAGTCACTATCAGAGAGGCTCCCTCTGGTGGCAGATGGGAATGGATGGAGAGACCCACAGCTAGATATTACATGGAGAGGGACTCTAAATTGGAGGTCTCTATCAAACCCCTCCTCTCTGAGCTCAGGAAACCTCTTGGAAGAGGAGGCAGAAAGACTGTAAAAGCTAGAGGGGATGGAGGATACCGGAACACAGGCACACACAGTTCCAAAAAGCAAATACTAGTGGGGTACAGTGATAGATTAAACCTGGGCCTGGGCATGTCACTCAATAATATTATATTAATAAAAATACTAATTTTTTAGTTTTCTTTCTTTTTTTCAAGACAGAGTTTCTCTGTGTAGCCTTGGCTGCCCTGGACTTGCTTTTGTAAACCAGGCTGGCCTCAGACTCACAGTAATCCACCTGCCTCTGCCTCCCTAAGTACTGGGATTAATTTTCTAGTTCTATCCATTTATCCGAAACTCTAATTCTTCTCTGTAACTAAATTGCATTTCATTGTATGTATGTACACATTTTCATTATTCACTTGTCACCTGAAGGGCATTTAGCTCATTTCCATTTCCTAGCTATTGTGAACAGAGCAACGATGAACATGACTGAACAAGTATCCGTGAAGTAGGGTGTCAAATCCTTCGGACATAGGCCAAGGAGTAGTTTAGCTGGGTCATAGGATAGATTTGTTTTTAGCGTTTTGAGAATTCTCCATACCAATTATCAGAGTTGCTCCACAAAGTCTGCAATTCCAGCAATGGTGGGTGAGGGTTCCCTTTTGCCATATCTACTCCAGAACTGGTTGTTGTTTGTTTGTTGATCTTTGATACTCTGATTAGGGTAAGATGAGCTCCAAGTGTTGTTTGGATTTGCATTTCCCTAAATGATTAAAAAAAATGATGAACAGTTTTTGAAATATTTCTTAGCTGTTTTATTTCTTCTTTTAAGAACTCTCTATTCAGGTCCTGTGAAAGTATCTGTGTCTTCAGCAATAGGAGCCCACCCTTAAGCCCCTGAGAGGCAACCAAGGCTACATCAGTAGTCTTTATTGTTTTGGGAGTCACTGAGACTACTCCCACCAACCATTCAAAAGGAAGTTTCTTATTCATGTTACTGGGGTTCTTATTAGTCTGTGGTTTTTGTGGAGAGCATTGTCAGCCCAACTTGCTTAACTTCCTTTAAGGTAGGGGTGTGTGTGTGTGTGTGTGTGTGTGTGTGTGTGTGTGTGTGTGTGCACGTATATTGTGTATAATTTTGGGTAAATATAAAAATAAGGTTCTTTTTGTTTTTATCAGACAGCCTTGGTTTTATTGGTCTCTTGTCCCTCCTCTTTCTGTTGACCTCTCTTCATTCTCCCCAGTTGAAGACCTCCCCCTGTTTATCCATTGCTTCATATCCCCTGTGCCCTGTCATTCCCCTCTTCATCCTTTCCCTCTGCTGCAATGGACTCTTTACACTTTCCTGGTTTCTGTGTCTAAGCCCTGTTTTATGTGCACATCTGAAGATCTGGAGCTAAGAACTTCTGGTGGGAGAGAACACAGTTTTTTTCCTCTGGGTGTGTGTTACCTCAATATAATTTTCCAAGTCTGTCTGTTTACCTGAGAATCTCCATGGTTTCATTTTTCTTTACAGCTGAGTGTTAGTCCGCTGCATGCACTCACCCCACCTGACAGCCCACTCCACAGATAGCTGCTCCACAAAGTTTATGGCTGCCATGCTCACACTAGCCTGGAAATGGACTCAACCTAGATGTCCCTCAACAGATGAATAGATTTTCTTTTTCAATCCATTCAGCCAACTGGTGTCTTCTGATTGTACAATTGTGGTCATTAACATTTACAGTTATAATTTAAAGTTATGCCTTGATTGCAGCCACCTTGTTGATGCTTGTTGTCGCTGTCTTTGTAATTTCAGTGGTACTTTTCGTTCAGTAACTGAGGCTTGTTTTCTTTCTGCGGTCTCTTGGCTGTGCTTATTTCTCTTTCCATCTAAAGCACTGCTTCCAGTATACTGTTTAGTGTTGATTTGCTGGATGTGAATTGTGTTAGACTTTTTGGATCACAGATACATTTTCTTTTTCTTTCAACAATGGCAGATAGTTTTGATGAACACAGTAATTTATATTGGCAGTCCTGTTATTTTAGAACTCAGAGTATATTCTTCCAGGATCTTCTGGAGGGCAGAGATCTGTAAGTTATATATTCTGGAAAGAGTTCGTATTCAAAATGTAAAAGAAGCTTTTAATAGTCTATCCAGACAGACAATAGGCCAAAACATGATGGGGCACTTCACCAATCATAGGCAGATGTCCAATTAGCACACGCAATGACATTCAGTACCATTGGTCACTAGAGAAATCATCCAGTAACTCCACTCATATGTCTCTGCCCAGAGAAATAAAAATATTTTTTTATATATTGATAGTAGCAATATTCATACCAGCAAAGATGGAAACAGTTGTTCTTCCATCAACTGGAAGAAGAAAATGTGGTAAATGCACATGTTGAAATTCTAGTACCCAATGAAAAGAAACAATATAATATAGAGTGTGGTCAGGTACATGGAAATTTCACACACATAGATGTTTTAACCCTCATGAATTACCTAGAAAAGACATTTATAGAGACAGAAAGTAGGTTAGTAGATGCCTGGAGATAGGGAGAGGCAGGTGGGAGTATGGACTATAAATATGTTGTGGTTCTTTGGGGGATGGTGAAAATATCCTAAAATTAGATTTGGGTGTGGTTGCACTAGTGTCTAAATTTACCAGTAATTATCAGTGAAATTATTGTAGATAAATTACAGCAAAATTATTAAATGTCTTGATTTCAGAAATAGATATATGTGGACTGCAGAGATAGCCCAGTGTGTAGAGTACCTGCTGCTCAAGCATGAGGATCTGAGTTCAGGTCTCCAGCCCCTGTGTAAAAGCCTGTGATTGGGCAGTCATACTCTTTGTGCTGGAAGGAGGAGGCAGGAAGATGCTGGGGACCTGATGGACAGCCAGTATAGCCAATTGATGGCTGAGATACTTTCTCAAATTCCCTAGACTTATGAAACTACTGTAATCATTGACTCATCTCAACTGTAGCTACCTGTACTGTTTCTATACACTATACGACTTATAAGCAGTCAAAGAAACAGGCTCGTGTTTTCCTATTCTTTACCTCTGAACTGTTGTTATTGATAGAGCCTGGGACCAAGGGACTCACCGCCTCGAAAGTTTGGTTATGTATGAATGTTCTGCCTGCACACCAGAAGATCCTATCATAGATGGCTGTGAGATACCATGTGGTTGCTGGGAATTGAACCCAGAACCTCCGGAAGAGCAGCCAGTGCGCTTAATCACTGAGGCATCCTCCAGCCCCTTCATGACATTTTTTTTTTAATCTAGAAGAATATTCTCAAATTGAGCATTTTTCTCTCAGATAAAGGGTAGTAAAATTGAACACTTTATGCTTTATAATTTTAACTTTCTTTACAGATATTTTAAGAACGTAACAATTCACTTAATGTTTTAAAGTTTAACATGAAGCTAACTGTCAAGGTATTCTATGATAAAAGCCAGTCAAAAGGGTTTCCCTGTGTAGCCCTGGCTGTCCTGGAACTTTCTCTGTAGAGCAGGCTGGCCACAAACTCAGAGATCCACTTGCTTCTGCCTCCCAAGTGCTGGGATTCAAGGTGTACACCACCACATGGCAAAAACAGTTTTTTATACAACTGTTTTTAAAAAAAGTAACAATTGCAGATTAGCTCAGTAAACTGGTTTGATTTTCAAATCTAGCAACATAGGCTATGAATTGTTAAGCCTTTATCTGCATTTTGCTCTGTATTTCAACAGAGTAAAAAAGCCATAAAGAATATCCTTCAAAAGTGCACCTACCTCCCAGCCCTTGAGCCGTTCCTGTACGATGCTCCTCCCAACATCCTGAAGCACGTTGTCGGGCAGTTCAGTAAGGTAAGACATGTAACCTGCAAGGAAGAAAAGGAAAGGAAAGCCAGCCGTCAAGTTGTTGCTGTCCTGTTTTCTTCTCTAAGTTGGGCCTTGGCCTTTCCTACTTCTTCTCAACCCCTACCAGTATGTTAACCCAGATACTCAGGTTAAAACTCACAGCCAACTAGAACTCACTTTTTCCTTCTCCGCATTTCCCATCTAGCCTCTAGACTGTTTTTTAAAAAATCGTTCTCAGGAAGTAACTGGTCTATCAACACATAAAATGTCACAATTGGGCTGGCAAGATGGCTCAGGAGTTAAAGGGCTTGACACCCAAGCCCGAGCTGTATCGTCAGGACCGTGGTAGGTGGACAGGAGCTGAGAAACTGTTCTCTGCCTTCCGCACGTGTTCCCTGACCTGTGCACGTCCGTGTTCACACACAGTGGTGGTAATAATAATAATGGCAACGATATAAACGTTTACAGAGGCAATTCGCCTCCCCCAACACGCTTACTTTGCGTTGATAAATATTTTTCTATTTCTCATCTCTCCTGGTGTCCTCTAATCTCAGACATCTAGGACCTCAGCAAATAGCGTTTTTGTTTTTTTTTTTTTTTAATTAGGCATTATTTTAGCAAAGATCTTTAAAAAAAAAAAAAAAGAAAGGAAGAAGAAAATTTTGAGCCCCTGATACATTTTTCAGAAACCCCTATGCGCTTTACTACAGATTCTGTTGGTCATTTATTCCTGTTTATGTATTTTAAAATGTTTCAGTTCAGACTCTGAAAGAACCAGTGCTTTTAACTGCCGGGCCATCTTCTAGCCCTGAATATTCACAGCTTTATGGAAAAAAAAATTAACAAATGTGACTGCCATATTTCTTAGGTGATTGCATCTTCACAGTAAGCAAATGATAGTGAGATAGAAATGTTAAGCTGAGAAATGTGGGCTGCCACGTGCTGACCATAATTGGTCAGATATAGTGTTTGGTTCCTGAGACTATATATTTGATGCAAAAAAAAAAAAAAAAAGAGCCCAACTTTTTTTTTTATAAGTTACCAGCTGCAGTACTTTTGTGTGGGATTGGAAGTTACTGTTTGGTGCTCAGCATGGTACCCATCTCACATATGCTAGACATATGTTCTACCACTGAACTGTAACCCCCACTACATTCTAATTCTTTGGCCAAGTCTTGACCTTTCAAAACCTTAGATTGGTTACATGTAAGGTGGGAATAAGAATTGATTTTAGTTCAAGACACATATTAAACAACGAAAAATATCAAAACAAAAATAACCAAATATTGTTTTAAAGAAATAAAATATTCACACCTATCATGGTGGCAAATATCTTTAATCCCAGCCCTCGAGAAGCAGAGGCAGGCTGATCTCTGTGAGTTCAAGTGCAGCCTGTTCTACATAGCAAGTTCCAAACCAGCCAGGGCTGCATAGTTGTAACCCTGTTTCAAACAAACAAAATTTTTAAAAAAGTTTTGTGGGCAAGGCAATTGCTATTTGGACTAATTAATAGAAGAGGACATATTCATTAGGATAATCTTACAGAGCCACACAAATAAGAGTCTTCTGTTTGTATACTGTATTCCTGCAACTAATGGACAAAAACAAGGTCTCACTGTATAGCTCCAACTGGACTGGAACTTATTCCTGATCCTTCTTCCGCAGCCTCCTAAATGCTAAGATGGCTGGTGTGCTAATGGCTCCCTTCAAGGTATTCATCTAAAAGCCAGGTTACCGGAAGCTTTCCGTTCTTTGTTTAGCTGACCTTTAAGCGATGTCGCTACTGTAAACAAGGTTTCCCTGAGATGAAGCCACCTCTGAATAAGGTTCTAGTAACAGACACCTTGTTCTGTCTTGGTTGGTTCAAGAAAACTATGTTCTTTTCCTCTCGGTGATGTGACAGTCCAAGTTCCGCACGGCGCACCTAGAATGCTACATTTTTAAATGGAGAAAGTTGATCCATTTTTCACTTTCATGTTTTCTGGGCATGAAACAGGAAGTGGCTGGCTAATCTAGTCCCCTGAGAAAGAGCAGTAGGGATGACTGAGCTAACCATAGACGTTAGCTCTAGGACAGAACTCCTGACATTAACGTTTAGGTCGATGAGAAAGATGTGCTGAAAAGTGATTTTTGTGTTTTTGTGTTACAGAGTGGGGGGGAGGAGAGAGAAAGTTGGATGAGTAGGGATGTGGGGAGGATCTGGCAGGAGTGGGGAAGAGGAAACGATCAAAATATATGAAAAAAAATAGAAAAGAGAAAAATCTGTAGAATATGTAGAAGTTAGACCACCAAAGTCAAGTGAGCTGAAGACACTTATAGTATTATATCTCTTCTCCGTGTGTCTTTGAGAATGTTTGCTGCCAGCAGATGAATAGTTCCTTAAAGGCTCCCCCTCTGTCTTTTCCCCCTCCTTCCCTTCTTCTTTCCTTCCCCTTCCTTCTCCCCTCCTCTCAGTCTAAGGATCAAATCTAGGGACTTGCTCTGCCGCTGAACTCTGTCTCCTAGACCTTGGCTTTTTTTGTTAGTTTAGAGTCACTGTGTAGACTCAGCCTCAAATTCCTAGTCACGCTGGCCCATGCTCTTCTAGCCTGTGTACTGCTATTATACCAGCCAGTGTTTTCTGTAAGTTACTACCACAATGAGTAGGAATTAATCAGGCAAGTGGGGAGGTTTCTGGGTGGCGAAAAGGCATTCTAGAGAGAAGGAACAGCGTGGGCAAAGACAAACGATGCCACAGTATTTGTGCTCTTAGTTCCTGAAACACAGCTTCAGTTGAAGACTGCCTGGTAAGGAGCCTGGAGAAATATTCAAGAGATGGGTAGAATGGAGCCTTTTGCCTTGTTAAGGAGCTTGCCTTTTATTTCATAGAGGGGTTTAGGCCTCTGGTATGAGCAGCAACATTGACTTTGCTCATATATACTGAGGCTTATTCCATTTTTTTTTACAACACGAAAAGTTAATATACTTTTCAAAAGAGTCTAGTTGACTTCCAGTTACCAGAAGATTTGGCTTACTATATTGTAGCCACATTGAAAATAAATTCTCTACCAAGTGATTTTAGTAGTAAAACTCTAACTTGGGAAAGAAGAGATGATGTTTTGTGCACTTTCCCTTCAAGGTGCTACCACACGACAGCAAAGCCCGACGCCTTTTCGTGACAAGTGGCGGACTTAAAAAAGTCCAGGAGATAAAGGCAGAGCCTGGCTCTCTCCTGCAGGAGTACATCAACAGCATCAACAATTGCTACCCAGAGGAAATCGTAAGGTGAGGAGGAGGGACTGAGAAGTTCAAACACAGCCTTTCTATGGAGTATGTAAATACATGGACTTTGAAATTCCACTGCAGCCAATATACAGCTTCTTTCTGGCCTCTTTTACCTCATGAAAACTTTTTTTTTTTTTTTTTGAAATTCAGGAACTGAACCCAGAGCCTCATGCTTGCCTAGGGAAGAACACCGCCACTGAGCCCTATAGGCAGCTCAGGTTAACATATACATATACATGTTGATTTGTAGAGCAGTAAGCTTAAGCCTCAGATCAATTATACATTAATTGCCTCTTAAATGAAATAAAGTTGCCCAGAAAAATGGAATAACTTAAATAACTAAATTTTGACAATAAGTCTTGACGAATACCATGAAGCATGCAAAATACAACATGTTTATAATTTCTAGATCATTATTAAAAAAATACAAATTCCAGATTTAAAAACTCACATGTTATATATAAATTATAGCTGTAACTTATTTGTTTTCCTATTTAATAATTACTATTTTCTGTATTTGGTTGCTGTTGCTTAATGACAGGCTTTGTCTTAGTGTATCCTTGGCTGTTCTGGAACCCACTCTGTAGACCAGGCTGGTCTTGAAATCACAGAGATCCACCTGCCTCTGCCTCCCAAGTGCTGGGACTAAAGGCATGCACCACTGCACAGCTATTTTCTGTTGTTGTTGTTTGTTTGTTATTTAACATGTAGTAACATATTAAAAGCGCAAAATCTTTACAATTAAAATTTATCTTTATTCGGAAGCTGGAGAGATGGCTCAGTGGTGGTAAGCCCTGGCCACTCTTACCTGCGTAGCGGCTAGCAGCAGCAGGTAACTCTTGTTCTAGGGGATATTATAGCGCCCTCCAACCTTCACAGCACGACACACCCTGACAAAACATTCATCAATTAAGGGAAATAAAGCTATAAAATAAAATATTTAGAAATCTCCGGACAATAAGCTAAAGTTTTAAGTTTATATGTAAGAACATAGAAAGTTCTTACTTTACATGTATGTTTGCCCGCGTGTGTGTCAGCACACACATGCTTGCCTAGTGCCCACAGAGGCTGGGAGGAGAAGCGAGATCCCCTGAAACTGGAGTTTTCCGTACTGTGGAGTGAGCCACAGTGTGGAAAAAGAGCCCAAGTCTCTGCAGAAGCACGGGTGATCGGGTGATCGTAACCCCTTCACGTAAGACTCAGGGAGCACCACAGAGAGGGGGCAGAAAGACTCTAAGAGCCAAAGGCTCCGTGTCTGCGGTGAGCTAAGGTCCTCTCTGTATGTGTGAATGCCGTAAAATATATGTGAAGCCCACTAAATGAGGGAATTGTGAAAATGCTGCTAAAATTAATCTTTATACATGGAATGCATATCTCATTAGGAAGAATTCAATGTTATATAAATTTAAAACAACTTTCAATTCAGTTTTCTAACAAAAATCAGAATTAAAGAAAAATGGAAAAAAATGAATGCATGCTAAAGGTGTCTCAAATGGAGCGATGGTAAGGGGCTTTCCTGAGGGTCTGTTTGTGTTTTACCTCTTTTAGAAATATTTTTATTGAGACCAGGAGAAATTTTTTTTAAAAAAACCTGTGATATTAGAAGTTAATTTTAGTGCTTTGTGAAAACACTATTGTAATTTTTTCAATATTTATTTATTTATTTATTTATTTATTTATTTATTTATTACAATTTATTCACGTTGTATCCCTGCTGTAGCCCCTCCCTCATCTCTTCCCAATCCTGCCCTCCCTCCCTCTTCTCCCCTTATGCCCCTCTCCCAGTCCACTGATAGAGGAGGTCCTCCTCCCCTTCCATCTGACCCTAGCCTATCAGGTCTCATCAGGACAGGCTGCATCGTCTTCCTCTGTGGCCTGGTAAGGCTGTTCCTACCTCAGAGGGAGGTGATCAGAGAGCCGGCCACTGAGTTCATGTCAGAGACAGTCCCTGTAATCTTTTACCTTTTTGAGGATTTTAAACACGAGTTCTATATTTATATCATTTCTACCTCCTCCAACTCCTCCCCTGCTTCGCCTACTCCCTCTCACATATGTAACCTCATCTTTAATTACATGCTTATCACATGCACATGCGCACACACATGCGCATACACACGCGTGCACACACAAACACACACACACACACACACGGCCGACTGAGTATCCTTAGTGTTGGTTGTAAGTGTGTATTTTTAGGACTGACATTTTGGGATTAGATACTGCATTAAAGGACACATTCCTAGAGAAGACTGACTCTTAGTAGTCCTTAGTTACCTGTCTTTTCATGGAGGAGCAGACGTTTGTGAAAGTTGCCCCGTCCATGGTGCAATGTCAACTGTGTTGTCATTATTCTTATTTAAGGTACCATATTTTTGATATTTCTTAGGTATGACTTTCTTGGCATATAGAGAAGACACTAGCTCCTACATACTGGTCCTCTACGCCTTCTTTTCTGATGTTCCCCAAGTCTTACATGAAGGGGTTGCCTTGTAGAGCTATCCGTTGTAGTTGGCCAACCCATGGCCAGTTGTGCTCTGCATTTTGACCAGTTGTGGATTTCTGTAATGCTCTCCATCTGTCGCAAAATAAGCTTTTTTGATGAAGGATAAGGAGAAGTGTTTAGAATGCGGCTAGAGAGCATACTGATTTAGAAAGATTACAGTAGTAGGTTCTCCTCTAGAGTGTATGACCTCGCCAGCCACAGCTAGTTAGTTTATGGTACTAGGTATGATTTCCATCTGATTTAGTAGATCTTCAATTAGACTGTTGTTCGTTAACAACAGTTATGAGAGCCACCATTGCAATTTCAGGGACATTTTACATTGTTGTGATTCGTAGGCATCAGCAGGGTTGATTATTGATTTTCTTTTTCTCCCTTGGCAAATTGCACAGCATCTTCAGATGCTAGCAGTCCTAGTTCTCAGAAAGGAGGCTTCAAGGCCAGCTCCAACTAATTTCCTTCTCCAAAATTTGTGGTGTCTTCAAAAATAGGGTCATTTCTTCAAGTTCTGGAAGGCAAGGAAGGGCAATGACAAAATCCTATATTATTTTGGGAGTCTTTGGGGCTACTCTAGCTAACAGCTCCATGGGCATTTTCCCATTTCTGGCATTGAAGTTTTTGTTAGATAGTCTATGGTTCTTGGGGGGAGATATTACCATGTGTTGTAACTTCACTCAATAGACATGTATTTGTATATTGCATATATACATATATGTACATATGTTTGTATTTATTTTTGTCTTTCTACAATGTCAGGATTTATTGAATAACAGTAAATCCATAAGCTATGGTGTTTTGTTTTGTTTTTCTTTCTTTTTTCTTTATTATTTATTACAATTTATTCAGCTTTTATCCCAGCTGTAGCCCCCTCCCTCATCTCCTACTGGATCCACCCTCACTCCCTTTTCTCCTATGCCCTTCCCCTAGTCCACTGTTAAGAGGAGGAAGTCCTCCTCCTCTTCTATCTGACCGTAGCCTATCAGGTCTCATCAGGACTGGCTGCATTGTTTTCCTCTGTGGCCTGGTAAAGCTGCTCCCTGCTCAGGTGGAGGTGATCAGAGAGTTCATGTCAGAGACAAGCCACTGCTCCCCTTACTAGGAAACCCCTTGGAAACTGAGCTGCCTATGGGCTACATCTGAGCAGGGTGTCTAGGTCCTCTCCATACATGGTCCTTGGTAGGTGTCTTGGTCTCTGCAGGAGCCAGATTTTTTGGCTCTGTTTGGCTCCTAGTGGAGCTCCTGTCCCCTCCAGGTCTTTTTATCTCCTCTTTTTCCATAAGATTCCCTGCACTCTGCTATGAGTGTTAGCATCTGCTTTGATACCCTAATGGATAGTCTTTCAGGGGCCCCCTGTGGAAGGCTCCTGTCCTGTTCCCTGTCTTTTCCCACTTCCAATGTCTATCCTGTTTGCCTTTCTGAATGGGAATTAAACAATCTTCCCTGGGGTGCTCCTGGTTGTTTAGCTTCTTTAGAACTATAGATTTTAGTGTGTTTATCCTATATTATATATCTAGTATCCACTTATAAGTGAATATATACCATGTGTGTCTTTCTGCTTCTGGGATACCTCACTCAGGATGATCTTTTCTAGTTCCATCCATTTGCCTGCAGATTTCATGATTTCCTTGTTCTTAATTGCTGAGTAGTATTCCATTGTGTGAATGTACCACAGTTTCTGTATCCATTCCTCTGTTGAGGGACATCTGGGTTGTTTCCAGATTCTGGCTCTTATGAATAAAGCTGCTGTGAACATAGTTGAGCAAATGTCCTTGCTATAGTGGTTTTGGTGGCAGCAAGTTGCCAGGTACTCCTACTTTCTTGACAGCTCTACCCAAAGCAAAAGTGTCTCTTTTATTCTCATCTTAATTACTAACATAACACTCAGAACAAACATTATAACCACATAGTAAATATATCCATTATCTACATATGTAAATAAGTAGGTGACGGAGGGACTAAAAGGGATGAGGTTACAGCAGGAAAATTTATAGTATTTTAAAGACCCTAGAATTTTTATAAACCTTAATAAAAGTGGTGCAGAGCTATGAAAAAGTGTTTGCTACAGAAAATTTCTATACAAATATCTCTTTGGTAATAGAGATATTACCAAATCAATTAGATACATTTGTCATAAAGAAAATGCTTAATTTTGTCCATTGGTATATAAACGGTGAAAGATAAATTAAAAATACAGGAATTCAATGCTTCTTATTTCTGTAAGTATATCATAAAGAAATGCTCATATGTTTGCTTATATTCAGACAGACCTTACCTATCTATATAATACTTAGGAATAAATGAGCTGATCCAAAAGACTTACTGTGTATATCACAAGAGATGTCTCCATAAAAGCATATTACAATCTTGATTTTAATGTAATACACCTCATTATTTGTTTAAACACTAAAAACATGTAAATATTTAAAGACCTAAATCAGATAAGAGAAAATTATGCTTAAACTGAAAAAAATTTTCTTTGTGTCCTATTTTAGTTAATTTT